GTCATCTCATAACATGGCACTCCGTTGTCCCTTCCAGCGCTGCTCTGCTCTGCGCTCTGCTTTTCCAGTACCAAGGAGCCAAAAGCACACCATGTCATCGTGCTGAGCTCTCCTCAGGGCTGTGGACAGCAGAAATTCACCCTCGCTCCCTGCACCAAGCTGCAAGGCCTCTGGGATTTTAAAGGGCTGAAGGTCCAAGAGCTTGGTCAAAACTCGCTCTGTCTCTCCAGCAGAGCAGAGTGTTGGGCTGTGCAGTCGCGAGGCTGCACACCACTGTCTAATCTGCACTCCAGTAGTCTCATGACCTTCAGCTAATCTCCTTTCCCCTTTCTCTGCTGCTTCCAGCCAGGGACTCAGCAGGTGCTGCTCCGCTCTGAGGGAGGCCACATGTCCCATCCTCTTTCCTTCGGCAGTGTCACAAGGGTCTTTGCTTGTTCTCCTTACTGTAGTGTCATCCACCTTGTCTCTAGCGCTTGTCTCTCAGTTGCTTCTTCTCTGGGTTCTTGTCCATCTGATCCTGCTTGAGCCTGTACTGGTTACAGGGAGACTGTGTTTTCATCTGTTTTTTTTTCCTTTGCTTCTAGCTTTCAGATCAGCCATCTCTCTTCTTGCACCTTCAAGGTCCTGGGCTGCTGTTGTCATCTCGCAAGAGCTATTTAATTTAGGTCTCTGGACCATTTTCTTGTCTCCTTTGCCAGCTGCCCTCTGTCTCCATTTGTAGCGGGGGCTGTTGTCTGCCTCGGATGCTTCTGCTGCAGGTTCTTCATCTAGGTCCCTGCCTGCATCTGGAGTAAAGCGATCTCGGATATTCACCTCTCTTGCTTTCCTGCCCTTTAGCCTGCGGTCATTCACTTCTAGCTGCCTGCCCTGCTCCTGCTGGAGGGATTTCCAGGTAGGAGGCCCAGCTGAGGCTGTGGAGCAGGCTGGGCTGAGCCTGGCTCCAGGCAGCATGGCTCCCGGGGCTCAGCTGCATTCCTCCTCCTCCTGGGATTCCCTGCACTGAAGCACTAAGGGTGGGGAGGACTGGTATAGCCGGGAATGTGGCCCACCAGACTCCCAGCCCTCCTATTCCCTGATGAGTGAGGCCCTACAGGGCGGGAGCTGCTGCCAGCACCTCTCCAGAGCACTGGGGCTGCTGCCTCATGGCCACACAGGAGCCAGAGGGGCTGTGGCACCCTCCAGTTCCCACCTCCTCTCCTCTGTCTAAGCCCTGCGCTAAACAGACCTCATCTCTCCTCCATGGCACCTCTCTCAGAAGGTGCTGAGCGAGTGGCATCCACGGTCGAGCCCATGGGGGCTGCTGAGCTCAGGGTGCTGTCTGAGGAGGGGTTTCTGCTTACTACTACCTCTGCTCTCTGACCTCATCTCTCTCCATCGTGGGGCAAACTGACCTGAATTAACCTCTGATCTTCTGGGTGCTCTTGGTTCCTGGCCGGGCTGCCTCCTCACATCTTCTAACTTTCTCCCCTCACCTCCCGCTTGTCATTTTAGTGTAGCCTCCGCCCTGCACTCCGACAACCATGACCGCTACGAGCGCCTCACCTCCGTCTCCAGTTCTGTGGACTTTGACCAGAGGGACAACGTGAGTAGCAGAAAGAGTCAAACACCTTGCCTTTGAGTGGCAAGAAGCCCACAGCTTGTCTGAACCAAGGGCTCTTCAGAAGCAATACAGTTTTCCCATCCCTGGACCTTAGGTTCCACATTTTGTAGTGTGTGGTGTGGTATATAGCTCAAGGAGACATAACTATGTACCTTCTAGACATGTGCTAGGCTGTACACCATGTGTACACATGTGCTGTACATCCCTGTGGCTTAATGGACAGCTGTCCAGCCCATCATCTTAGCATTACGAACAATGCCAGGCTCCTTGCACCGCTGTCTACCTGTACTGCTGTTTTCCTCTCTAAAAGAGAGGTGTGGTTCAGTAGGATAACAAGGTGTGATGGATGGGTGGTGAAGCTCCCAGAGGAAATATTCCTCCCCCAGGTGTCCTTTGAGGAGCACTGGCTTGGCCCAGTCTGCCTTCCCAGTCCCTGCAGAGCTCCTCTTGTCCAGGATGATGGCTAAAGTACCTGTATGGTGAATTTTCTGGGTGTCCCTAGGCTCTGGACAGCTTCCATGCTAGCCAGGAGCCCATGGGTTGCCTGGGAGGCTGAGCTGCCAGTTAGTAGGGGGCAACCACATGGCAGAGTCCAGCCTGTGTTGTGCCCTGTGGAGTAGCACTGTCATCTCTTTCACCTGGGCCCATCCAGGGCTCTGCACGTCTGGGTACTTGTGGTTGGGCCCCTTCCTGTCCTGAGCAGAGTCTGTGGAGGTGCAAGGACACCAGCCTGGTCCCCTCCTGAGCCTTTGAAGGAGGGAGCAGGGAAAAGGGAGCACAGAGTGACGCAAGACCCTCCCGTCTTCTTTCTGCACAGGGTTTCTGCTCCTGGCTGACAGCCATCTTCAGGATAAAGTAAGTGCCCCAGGACCTGCACGTAGGACCCACGTGGGGAAGAAGCAGAGGGTAGTGCAGGACATTGGGACACCCAGTGCAGTACAGCTGTGTGAAGTCACTGCCCTTGCTGCAGCCCCTTCTCAGAAGAGCACAAGTAAAGTGTGCCCCCTGGAGAGGACAAGCAAAGACAAGATCTGATAAGGAGTCCTAAAGTGAAAACTAAGGTCACACAGTGAGTCTGTGACAGAGAAGAGCCCCCAGCCAAGGTCTCCCCTGCCTCAGTCCCATCTTGGAATCGCTGTCTGTTGCTCTGCAGAGATGCTCCTCTCCCTGGGACTACTGATAGGGGTGCTGCTGTCCAAGGAATGACTACGAAGGAGGGACTGGAGGATGCAGGGAGTCACCCCCAGCCTGATGATGCTCAGGAGTAGTCTCCTAAGCATTTCTTGGCTTCAGAGTGCTTTGGGACAGTGTCAGCCATCCTGTATCTCAGCAGGGAAAGCAAGGTCACCCCAGAAGGATGTGAGGTGGGGTTTGCATGGGTCCAGCTGCCCGTCCCAGGGGTTGGAGGGCAGGGGCATGGGGAGTGCAACTGCAGTAAGCATTGCATGGGCAGGTTTCTGCCCAGGCCAGTTCAAAGCTGCACTTGGGGATCCCTACCCAAGGCCTGGCCACAGCTCTGTAGGGCAGAACTAGCAGTGCTGTGTGTGTTCAAACCAGGAGGGCAGCCATGACCCTGTGCTTTTCTCCAGCACTTGAGGGAACATAGAAGATTGCCTGACTGCCTTTCTCTCCCTGGCAGGGATGACGAGATCCGGGACAAGTGTGGGGGTGATGCGGTGCACTACTTGTCCTTCCAGAGGCACATCATCGGGCTGCTGGTGGCCGTGGGCGTGCTGTCTGTGGGCATCGTGTTACCTGTCAACTTCTCAGGGGACCTGCTAGGTGAGAGCAGGGAGCCTCTGGCTGGGCTGGGGTAGCTGCTTTCAACACTATGGCCCAGACCACCAGGGAGTAGTGAAGGGCAGGATGGGACTAACACAGGCAAACCCTGACTCCTGTCCCACTTTGATCATGGTGCATCCAGAGGGTCATCCCGGGCAGCTTGCGTTTTAGGGTGTGTTCTGCACATGAGCTTCCTGCTGTTTCCCACCCCAGTGGTGCTCTGTGTCACTCAGTATAACTGAACATGCCTGTTTCTGCCTCTTTCTCTCTAGAAAACAACGCCTACAGCTTTGGGAGGACAACTATCGCTAACCTAAATTCCGGGTATGTGTGGGCAGGGGTAGGATGGTTAATTAAGGCCCTCAGGGTATTTTGTAAATGTCCACTTGCTGCAGAGCCTCACCTCCTTGAAGGTTGCATTTCTGCCCTCGCCATGAGGCTACTGTCCCTGCTCCAATTTTCAGGCTGAGCTCCTGGAAGTTGGTTGTAGGGCATGTGGGTGGCTGTGCCGGTTATGCTGCTCATCGCCCCAGCGCCTTCAGGGCCTGGCTAGTGATATACAGGGTTGTAGTGGCAACCTTGCATTGACCTTTGTGGTCTCCCTTGTGACAGGAATAACCTGCTGTGGCTGCACACGTCTTTTGCCTTCCTGTACCTGCTGTTGACGGTATACAGCATGCGCCGGCACACCTCCAAGATGCGCTACAAAGAGGATGACTTGGTGAGCGGGATCTGGCCGATCTCCCAGCCACATTTTCCCATGCCCTTCTGTCAAGTCAGGTGGCCTTGGAGAGAGTAACGAGCATCCTGCTTCCCACAGCAATTTCAGGCTGTCTTGTTTTGGCTGTTCTTTTATTCCTCCTGGCCAAAGGCAGATCTCCTCCAGAGCAGCAGTCCTAACTGCCTGTGGGGAAACAGGAGAGGTCTGCACTGGGTGAACATGTGCGAGGGACCCCATGCCTTCCTCAGGGGTTGCTCCAGCTGCTTTTGCCTTCTTCGTTTCTTAAGGCTACCCCCTGTTTCTGTTCAGGCAGCTGCAGTGTAAGCCCCCAGCCTGTCAATCTGCTGTGCACCAGGATGCCAACAGCTAGTGGAAGGATAGGAGACGGGGAGCCCTGGGTGCTAGAAGTGATGGGGCTGCCTTTTCCCATTGCTGACTCAGGCCTTGGGGGGTTTTGCTGCAGTCCGGTCTTTCACATAATCCACACCTACCTGCTCTCTCCTTTTGTCCTTCCTTCCAGGTTAAGCGAACTCTCTTCATCAATGGAATCTCAAAATATGCTGAGCCAGAGAAGATCAAGAAGCATTTCGAGTGAGTCTCACTGTGTCTCTAAATAAAGGCTGCTCTGTAACGGGGATGCTTTTTATTGGGGTAGTGCTAGTGTTACCTGAAGTGGCAGTAATACATTGAGAGCAGAAAGCTAGTCAAAATTGGTGAACACTCTTATTTTGGGCATCTCAGTATTACTTTTCTGGGTAAATTTTTATCTAAATGTGCAGTGTCCTTGGGTCACGCCCAGCTATCTCTTGTGGAGCCATAGCAGGTCAGTGTGGTAAGTAGTAGACAGAGCATGTCCTGAGATGTAGTCAAGTTCAGAGACTGAGATGTAGGCAGGAAGTGCTCAAGCAATGACTGGTCTGTTGTGCTGCTTCTTCTGCACTGATCATGGTCCTTGTAGAAAAGTGTATTTTTCTTTTTAATAACAACAAAAAAAAGTCCTCTTCCCTCAGGACCTCAATGAACACAGGGTGTTTAGAAGTACCATGAGGAAAGGAGAAATGCTTTGTACTCTTTGGGAAGCCTTCTGCCTCTTTCTGACCCCAAGCCCTATGGCCCATGAAGGCAGAGGGGGAGTGTGGGGTCAGAGGGGTGTCACCCTTGCTGCCACAGGGTGAAGTCCAGAGAGGCTCCTTGTGCCAGAGCCCGGAGGAGGTAGCATTTGCTCCATGTGTTGCTTCCGTTGTAAGGGACAGCCTGCAGGCTCCCTTGATGCCCCCAGCAAGCTCTTGCTGTGCACCCTGATGCTTACCCTGGGGCAGGACAGAAGTCTTGGATGCATGAGGTTTGCTTGAGGGTACAGCTTTTGGTGCTGGGTGTGATGAGCTGGTGCTTCCCATCCACAGGGAGGCCTACGCCAACTGCACCGTCCTGGAGGCCCGTCCCTGCTACGATGTGGCCCGGCTGATGTTTCTCGATGCGGAGAGGTAACACCTGGTTTGGGAGAGAGGGCAGGGTGGATGGGGGCTGTGGGCTTCCCCTTGAGTCTGATGACATGGGAGCTTTTTCTGAGCCGCCCTCTTTCCTTCTTTCCTTCCTTATCTTCCCCTCTCCTGTTTCAGGAAGAAAGCTGAGCGTGGGCGAATCTATTTCACCAATCTGCAGAGCAAAGAGAACACGCCGTCCATGATCAACCCCAAGCCCTGTGGCCATCTGTGCTGCTGTGTCATCAGGGGCTGTGAGGAGGTGGGGGGAGAGCTGGAGGTGTTGGGCAGAGGGATGCACAGGGGCTTGGGTCCCTGGGTCTCTGCTCTGACCCCTGTCCCCTTGCCCAGGTGGAGGCTATCGAGTACTACACCAAGCTGGAGGAGAAGCTCAAAGATGACTACAAGAGGGAGAAGGAGAAGGTGAATGAGAAGCCTCTGGGGATGGCCTTTGTCACCTTCCACAATGAGACCATCACAGCCATGTGAGTACAAAGGATCCTGTCCTTCCCTGGAAGGTGATCTCTAGCAGCTCTCCCCTTAAATCAGAGGAATGCCAGCACTAAGGCATCCCCCCTTACTTGTCCCTGCCAGACCTCTGTGTCAGCATCTCCCTCTCTCTTCTTCTCCAGAATCCTCAAAGACTTCAATGCTTGCAAGTGTCAGGGTTGTGCATGCCGTGGGGAGCCCAGGGCCTCCTCCTGCAGCGAGTCCCTCCATGTCTCCAACTGGACAGTCACTTACGCCCCCGACCCACAGAACATCTACTGGTGAGCAGTTTTGTGGGGAGCCTGCTCATGGGAAAGGAGTGCATCCTCCCTGTCTGCTCCTCTGGAGTTGCTGTTGAAGCCCAGCCTGGCTGAGCTAGAGGTCTGATCTGACTTGGAGGGGGAAAGCCTTGGGCTGGCTCCCCAAGTGCTGTTCACACAGGCTGGGCCGTGGTGTGCATGTGAGGCCTCGGACCTGCCCTTCTCTCCCACGCAGCCATCCTGATGCCCTCCTTCCCCTCTCCCAGGGAACACCTCTCCATCCGGGGCTTCATCTGGTGGATCCGCTGCCTCGTGATCAATGTGGTCCTCTTCATCCTCCTCTTCTTCCTCACTACCCCTGCTATCATCATCACCACTATGGACAAGTTCAATGTCACCAAGCCCGTGGAGTACCTCAATGTAAGGCCTTTAGAGATGGGTGCAGGATGGGTACCATGGGAACCACCCCGAGGCACAACAGCCCCTGCAAGGGAGGAGCTAGGGAGAGAGATTATCAGCATTACCCAGGTCCTGTCAGCCTGACCGGGAGGCAGGTGCTGAGCCTGGCCAGGGTGCAGTGGCAGCTGTGGTGCTGGGGACTCGGCATCAGCAAAAGCAGCTGTACCTGTGGCTGGCATGAGAGCTGCCACACCATGTAATACACAGTCTCTTCTCTGCCTCGTTACAGAACCCCATCATCACACAGTTCTTCCCCACCCTGCTGCTGTGGTGCTTCTCTGCTCTGCTGCCCACCATTGTGTATTACTCTGCCTTCTTCGAAGCGCACTGGACCAGGTAAGGACAGCCAGCACCTGTTCTTAGTCATACCAGCGTGCTGCCTGGCCACTAGACACTTCTCACTGATGTAAAGGTTCTGGCTGGATCCTTCTGCCTGAAATCCTGTCTTCCACTCCAAGCATGGTGTTATGTTGCACCTCTTGGACACCTGGGGTCTGCCGTGGACAGCTGTTCTGCCAGTCCTTAGCTGTTGTTGTGCAGCATGGTTGTCTGAGCAGAGCTTGATGTAGGTCTACAAGAAGAAGAAAGCTGGGAGGAGTTGGGGCTGGTCTGTGTGAGGAATGCTAGTGAGGGAAGTCTTGACTCAGGTGAGCAGGCAGGGGTGGTGTGCCTGTACCCATGTGTAAGTCATAGCTTTTCTAAGGGAAAATCACCTTAGGTGCTATGGCTTTGGGCTGTAGGCAAGGTGTTTGAAGTGCAGAGCACTAGAAATGTGCTGCTTGTGAGGCGTTTTCCCAGGAGGATGTGCGATGTACGCTTTGTTTTCTGCTCTGTGTTGCAAAGACTGGTGGGGAGGCTGTTGCTAGCTCTGAGGATTGCAGGACAAGAGAGATGATTGCAGAGAGTCCTTTAAAGATAGGAGGTCTGGGAGAGCCTGTGAGACAAGGGGGGAGAAACTGGGACTCGAGAACAGGCAGACCTCGGACACACTGGAGGGAAAGGGGGCATATTCATGTACTAGTCGTGGACAGGGTGAGATTCAGATTAGACACCGGGAGGTGCTTTCTGATGAGAAAGCAATGGAGTTACTACTCCTGGGGCTGGTGGGGTGACAGTGAAAGGTCAACAGCTTCCTCTCTGTCCTCAGGTCTGGAGAGAACAGGACAACCATGCACAAGTGTTACACCTTCCTCATCTTCATGGTCTTGCTGCTGCCATCACTGGGCCTGAGCAGGTAGGGCTGGAGCAGGGGGAAGAGCAAGTGGAGAGACCTGGGACACAGGGAGGGTTGAGGTGCATCCCTGGTTCTTCTCCTACGCTACTTCCTTTCCCCACTGCACAAGTGCAGTGGCCACTGTCCCATTGGGGAGGTAGCATTTAGTTCTGGTTGGGTGGCCAGGCCAGACCATACACGGTTGGGTCCTTAGGGGTTTGTTGAATCAATGTGCAGCCGCATTGACATGTGCCTTGGTGTTATGAATAATGCGGCAAAAACTAGTATGGTTGGTGAACGCATGTGAAAAGTCTGCTCAAGGTCTGCTGGTGAAGGAGGCACTCCCCATCTCTGCACAGTGCACACACCAAATTTTGCACAAAACTAGTGAATTCCCTGTTTGAGCCTGAACTGAGTAGGTTGCACTGCTTGGCTGGGTGGAATTGCTATGTGTAGGCTGCAGAAATACTGATCCATCTGGATGTGAGCCCCAAGTCTTCCTGTAGGGGTTGTAGAAATGTCCTGTGGCAAACAGTGGTGCATCAGCTGCCAGCCATTGGCATGGGCTCTCAGCACTGAACAGTGGCCAAGTAGGGAAATAGTGTGAGGAAGGAAACACTGGGAGGTGGGAGTGGGACAGGGGGTCCTTACTGTGGTAGTGAGTTACTTGCACATTGCAGGGTGGGCAATCTACACCCCCCTAAATTCAGGATTCGGGATGCAGCCCCTCAGTGGTGAAGTCAGGCAGCTCCTGAGAATAGACGAACCCTCTGATAGAGGCAGAATAGCCCTTCATCCCAGTGGGTGACTACAGCAATGTTTCCCAGCCAGATTAAAAATGCCTTGCTGCATATAACCTTACAACCTAGGGAGGTGAATGCTCTTGGAAGGTTGCATTTTGACCAGATACCGTTAAACAGACTGTGCTTCCAAGGACTCGGTCCCCCTGCTGTTGCCTCTGGAGCTCTGTACTCCACCAGTACCCAAGGTACCAGAGGGTTGGATGGGTTTATATCAAAAAATCAGAATTGAGGAAAATGGAATTTGTTTCTAAGGGATTTTTTTTTTTTTTTAATCTCTGTGTTGGAGGTTACCTTGTACCTAACCAGTTTCTTCTGTAGAGTCAGTCACCTGTTCCTTGCATGGATGTTGTGCCCAAACAGAGGGAAGAGGATAATACTTTACTGATAGGATCAGGGCAAATGGAGAACACCACACGTGAGAATGGGAAGCTTTACATCCCTTTTTGGGTGCTGCACTGTTTTTCCCAGTGTCTGATTTACATAATTGCTGGTGACACATCCCAAGAGGGAAGAAAACCGTCTGTGGTCAGAGCTTTGGGTCCTTCTAGAGCAGCTTCCACGTATTTGCATGTGCATGTCTGTCACTGCTTCTGACTGTTCCTCTTGTCTTCTTGCCCTTCCTCCCCCACAGCCTGGATGTGTTTTTCCGCTGGTTGTTTGACAAAAAATTCCTCGCCGAAGCTGCCGTGCGATTTGAGTAAGTGGAGTCGGCCAGAAGGCCCTTCTTTGCAAGGGGGGGAGGTTCCTGTTGACATCCAAAAGGACTGGGGGCTCCCAGCTGCTGCCCTGCAAGTGGGGAGCACCTCCTGCAGCCTGCTCTTGCTGTGCCTCCCCAGATGTGTGTTTCTGCCGGACAACGGGGCCTTCTTCGTCAACTATGTCATCGCCTCTGCCTTCATTGGGAACGCCATGGACCTGCTGCGCATCCCCGGCTTGCTCATGTACATGATACGCCTCTGCCTGGCCCGCTCAGCCGCTGAGCGGAGGAACGTCAAACGAGTATGTAGCAGGGCTGAGGGGCTGGGTTGTGGCCTTCACCCGGGGATGGGAGTGCTGCGATGGGGCCCCGATGGGGCTCGCCCAATGCTGTGTGTACAGCTGGGTGCATTGCATGCCCCCGCTGAGCTCCTGGGGTCATGCTGATGAGTCTCTGTGCCCTCTTGCAGCACCAGGCCTATGAGTTCCAGTTTGGGGCTGCTTACGCCTGGATGATGTGTGTCTTCACTGTGGTCATGACATACAGCATCACCTGTCCCATCATCGTCCCTTTTGGTAAGAGATCCCCCTCGGCCCCCCTGTGTCAGAGGCTGGGGAGAGCTTGAGGCGGGGAGGCAAGAAGGGTGGGGGAAATACTCCCTGTCAGCTGGAGGCACTGGGAAAGAGGCTGATTACCCTCTCTGCTGGCATCCCTCCCCTCTTTCCCAGGGCTCATGTACATGCTGCTTAAGCACCTGGTGGACCGATACAACCTGTATTATGCTTACCTGCCTGCCAAGCTTGACAAGAAGATCCATTCAGGGGCTGTGAACCAGGTGGTGGCAGCCCCCATCCTCTGCCTCTTCTGGCTTCTCTTTTTCTCCACCATGCGCACAGGTGAGTGTTGGGCTGGGATGCCATCCCCTGGCCTCCTACAGAAACGCTTCCCTGGCTGGGCTGTGGTCCTGGCAGCCCCCGGCCATGGGGCATGGTCAAGAATTCCTCTGACATGGCCACTCTGGTTTTCCTTTGCCCCAGGGTTCCTGGCCCCCACTTCCATGTTCACCTTTGTGGTCCTCGTTATCACCATTGTGATCTGCCTGTGTCATGTCTGCTTCGGGCACTTCAAATACCTCAGCGCTCACAACTACAAGGTGAGGCGGAGTGCTGGGTCGGGGCGCAGGACCCTTCCCCTCGGGAGCACAGCTCAGCTGCAAAACAGCAGGGGCTCTGCGGGGGGGGTCCCAGTCTGCTCTGTGGCAGAGCCTCTCAACCCTCGCTTTACAGAGGGGATGGTCCCAAGGCTGTCCCTGCTGCCTGTATGCTACTCCTGTGGTGGGACAGCAGACGTGTTGCCCCAGCAGTCTCTCAGTTTCTCCTTTCCTCTCCAGATTGACCACACGGAGGTGGACACCATAGAAAACAGGCAGAACGGGAGACCTGCCACCAGTCTGCCGGCTCCCAAATCAGCTGTGAGTCCCTGTCCCCACCTTCATGCCCTGGCATGCTCTTTACCTGGGTTTGAAAAGAGGGAAGTAACACCTGTAGATTTTTTTTTTTTCCTTCCCCTCCCTGTCCAAGTACCTCATTCCTCACCTCTCTGAGGCAGCACCTGGAGTTGCCCAGCAAAGGTGGGAGCCAAGCATTGGGCCCTGTGCCAATTGCCTGAGCCGGGTGATGAAGTGTAATTCCACACACACACACGCAAACCCCTCTTTCTGCTGCTTCCCAGACACTGTGCCTTTACTTTCTGCCTCTCTCTTGGCCAGGAGAGTAAATCCAGCTGGGTCAGCCTCCCTTCTTCTGCATCTTTGAGTACTTGCCTATCAGCAAAGGCTGTCACCTGCTGGGCTGGTCCTGGTGCCAATGCAAAGGGGTCTCTGTGGGCATTGCCTTGAAGGCCTTGAAAGTGCTTTGGGGACTCTCCCCTCCCCTGCCCAACTCAGATTCCAGAGTCAGTTTTCTGAACCTTCTCTTGGGCTCACTGGCTCTATTCCAGCCATTTGCTCCCGCCATGAGATGTTTGTAGCTGGGGTCTGTGCAGAGCTGTTCAGGGGAGTACATGCAGAGATGAGGTAAAGCAGAGCCTCCTGCTCCCTTGGAGTAATCCAGGCTCCTTTCCAGTTTCCATGTACCTGAGGGCAGCAGCATCTCTCCAAAAGCATCTCCAAGATTTCCCTGTAGGAGGCAGGCACAGCCTCAGAGGGACACATCTACCAGCAAAAAAGGGAGCACAGTCTTCCAGTCCATGTGAGCTCCAGAGTGCTGAGCAGCCCCATGCTTGCCCAGCCCCAGCTCCCTGGGGGTGCTGCCTGTCCCAGGATGCTGGGGTTTGGCCAGAGCTGTGCTGCAAGCACCTCCACTGTTGCAGGGCCAAGCCAACCCCGCTTTTACCCCCTCTCTTGGTACATCCCATGGAGTCTAGGCCCTTCCTGACCCTCCAGCATGTCCCCACGCTCAACCTCTTGCATGGTGCTGTACCTCTTGTGCTCTGCTGCCATGAGAAGCCCCCCAGGCTTATGTGTGTTTCTGCTCTCTCCCCACCCTGTGCCTGGCCCTGGCAGAAGTACATCGCCCAAGTGCTGCAGGACTCCTCACCGGAGGGTGAAGCAACGGAGTCAGAGGAGCAAGGGTCACAGGATGAGGAGCTCATCAATGCGGATGGCATGAACGACACGGATTTCCAGTCGTGTGAGGACAGCCTGATAGAGAACGAGATCCACCAGTAGGGACCTCGGAGGGAGGGAGGGGAAGGAGGCCCAGGAGCGGGGCAGGCTGTGTGCACAGAGACCTAGGGAGAGGCACCCGAGGGTGCTGGCCGCTGCCCTCACCTGCCCGTGCCCCGGGGCCACTGCCTTCAGTGAGGGCAGGGGCCTTGCCACAAGCTCTCCATTTCCCTGCCCCTCCACCCCTGCGCGGGCCGGCAGCTCAGCGGGCATGCTCTTTACTAGCTACCTTCTTCAAGGTGTCCCCAGACCCCAAAACCCCAGGGGCTGGGGAGGAGGGGGGCTGTGATGCCCACAGTGCTGCTCTGGACCTGCAGGGAGGAGGAAAGCCGGGTGCTTTGTGGGGTGGAGCGCAAGGGGAACCTTTGGGGGTTCCTCAGCAGGCCCCTCTGTCCTCCATCCTCCTGGCGAGAAACACTAATAATTTATTAGATTTACAGGAAGGTGACAAACAAAAAGCTTTAGTTAGTGTATCGGAAGTCCCCCTAGGGAGGGGGGTGGTTTTTGTTGCACCTTCTCCCCGTGCCCACGTGTGCCCTTTCTCAATCCCTTGCAGCATCCCCGTGGTGTGACGTGCCAGGAGCTGGGCCAGGCATGGGGGGTGGTGACAGAGACCTCCCCTCACGCGGAAGGTGACAGCCTGGCCTTGTGGTCAGGGGTGGCATCGCCCTGGGGAAGGGGCGCGGGGCTGGTGTGAGCTGTGCAGCCCCTCGCAGGGTGAGGGGTGCTGAGGGCATTTCTCATGGGCAGGAGGAGGCGCTGGCAGCCTCTCCCCCAGGTCCTGTACCCTCCTCCCCCAGGGGCACAGGCAGGGGATTGCAGCATCATTAAGTGGCATTTTTTTTGCACATTTTACTCCCCTTTCAAACAAATCAACCTGACCCCTGCGTAATACAGCAGGGTCAGTCCCAGGGGTGGGGGGCCTGTGCTGGGGTTCTCCTGGGTGCTAGGGAGAGGGGAGAATGGGTCCTGGATCGCAGGCCCTCTGCACCCTGCGGGGTCGGTGCTGCCTGGTTGTGACGGAGCTGCCTTCCCTGAGCTGCCGCAGGGTCTTCCTCCAGCTGAGGTGGTTGGAGAGGGAGGGAGCCCTGGGAGAGCAGGCCCTGGGAGCTCTCCAAGCAAGACCACCGTCTTCAGAAGCATGAAAGCCTCATGGGGCTGTGCCGGCTTTCTTCACCTGCGTTGACTGGGTGTAGGATCCCCTGGCATCACCCAGCCTGAGAGAGGGGGGCAGTTCGTCCCCTACCCCTGCCCTTGCCCCCTCCCTGGTGATAGCCGTGTCCCAGAGGCAGGCAGGGGACAGGATGGATGGGAGAGGTGGACTGGAGCCCCTGGCACCTGCAGGGAGGTCTGACTTTATTTAAAGGCTCTTTGTGAGGAGGTTTCTGGTCAGGATCAGTTGCCCTCAATTGCTTCCCCCCTCCCCTTGTGTAAAATGTAAAGGAAAATAATAAATCTCCCTGCTATTGAGCTATATTTATTTCCCTCAACCCCCTGCCACGACCCTGTTTGGTGCTCATTGCAGACACTACCACCCTCCCTTTGCCTGTCATCTGTGGGTGCTGCACTGGCTCGCTGGGGCCATGTCCTCCAGGGTCTGACAGGGCCGGGTGGAAGGGGACAGTCATTTAACTTTTCAATCACCCGTGCTGGCCCTGGAGCTCCAAGCACTTTAATAGACCTGAACAAGTGAAGCATCAGCCCTGCCCACCTCGGCTCTGGGAAAGGGCAGTCACATCCCATAGCTTTTCCTCCCCTCGCCCCGCCATTAAAGGAGGGGAGCCAGA